GAAGAGATGATGATGATGAAGAAGGTGGGGATGAAGAGATGATGATGATGATGATGAAGGTGTGGATGATGATGATAATGCTGATGATGAAGGTGTGGATGATGATGATGATAAAGGTGTGGATGATGATGCTGATGATGAAGGTGTGGATGATGATGATGATGAAGGTGTGGATGACGGGGCTGTAATTAATAATAGTAATAATAATAATAACAATAATAATAGTAATAATAACAATAACAATAATAATAATAACAATAATAAAAGAAAGTTAAGTAGTTTAAATGTTTAGAAGAGAACAAGTTGTTTTGGGGACTCGGCCTCAGTTGTTGTTGAACTTCCTGCTCCTTTTTTAAAATGCTGGAAATATGAACATTTCCAAAAGTGCAGACCTCAGGGTGCAACATCTCTAAACACGTCAGAGCTGGTTCTGTGGAACTGGACTGAGGTTCTGACCCGCTGAGGTTCAGTTCTCTGAAGGTTCCACAGAAGATGCTCACAGAGAACCTAACCAGCTGATCTGAGGTCACAGATTCTCAGTCTTGATTTAATGATGTCTTATTTACAACAATCCTCCAGCCGTTGAATCGTGAATGGATTTTGTCGGTTCAGAACCAGAACCACTTCCTAACGTTAATTTGTGTTCGTCCAATCATATGACGGCTGCTGTTGAAGGATTACAGTTATAAATATTAATCTGTTCATCCATGAAGTCTGGAAATGATCCGTGTTGCCATGTTCCACCGTTGAACTTTATCTTCGCCCTCACTGACCGAGACGCCATGTTGGAATCGCAGCTGGACCACGAGTCCGGATCACAACAGAAACCAAAGCAGTTCTTGATCACACGGTCCATTCATGGCGGGTTCAGCTGGTGACGAGACGTTTTGCCTCCATGTTGCTCAGACCGGCACCGTGTTCAACTTGAAGCTCCTGCCGCTGTGCACGGAAACACAACACTTGTGAGCGTTTCACAGAACTTGGATACACGACGAGTGGACAGAAGTGGACTTCACATTTCCAGTCCAACGGGACGGACACCAGCAGCCGTTGACTGGTGGGAACATTTTGTCTGGGCGCTCGGTGGATCAGCGGATGGTACTGGACCTGCTGCTCCTTTAGCCTGTTGTCTGTTTAAAGCTGGTGTGAAACCCGACTGTTGGCCTCTCAAATCACTTTGTATTGTGTCCAAACATCTAAAACGGCACATTTTGTCGTTCACAATTAATTTTTGGTCCAATTAGTTCATGTGAATCTGACGAGTGCTGAAGAAAAAACCTTTAATTGTGACTCAAGTCTAAATAATGTGTGGAAATGAAGCGGTTCTGACACCATGAGAGGATTCAGACCGCACGAGTCCAGTAAAGGTGATTAACATTAATGGAGGGGTTTGTGTGCATTTTAATTACAGTATCGTGCACGTTCATACGTGCATGTGCGTGTTTACAGCCTGCTTTTAAACGCTTTATGGGTCAGTGTGTGGGCCTGCTGCAGCCATTACATCCATTTAAACGTGGCGTTTTGTTCCAGGACGTTTGCTTTAATGGGACAGAAATGTAGAAGTTTATTATTTTTGCAGCGTGTTGTTTTAATGAGCTTCTGTAAATGTGAAGGGCTGCTGCTGCAAAACTTCTGCTAATTCACAAAACACTTTTAATGTCTCGTCTCTTGTTGTTTCCAAACGTGCCAGGCCAGCTCGGCTGTCGTTTAATCTTTAGTGCTTCTTAACCTGCGATCGAGTCGCACTCTGATTTAAAACGAGGCGTTCAGACTCAAATGTCATCAGATTTCTGTGAACTGAGGACGAACGCTCCGCTGCCCTTCGAACAACAAACACCGTCTGACGTGTTTATTTAGTTAAAGTCACTGAATACACCGACTTCCTGTTTCACAGTGACGCATGAACGCTCAGACCTGTTCAGTCTGGAGTGGACCTGCAGGTCCGGTTCTGGTTTATGAGAGCGAGGGATGAACGAAGGACCAGCAGAATTAAGAGAGAAGCAGAGGAGGATAACGGAATGTGTAAACGAATCACGGGAACATCTGGGGGGTGTTTTCTCAGGTGATGCTTTGGTGAGAGGACGTTTTGACCTGTGATCTCCACTGATCCACCGTCCTCTGAGGCTCTGCCAATGGCCCGGGCTGAGGTGGATTATGGGTAATGAGAGGATTCAGACTGTGTGGTTTCATCGAGCTCTTTGTTTGTCACCTGACAGAAGACTGTAGCTTTACTCCATGTTGGGATGGACTCTACAATCAAACGGTCTGATTTCTGGTCCTGGAAAACCAGATCTGACAGGTGGTGTCTGTTTGATCTGGCAGGTGGTGTCTGTTTGATCTGACAGGTGGTGTCTGTTTGATCTGGCAGGTGGTGTCTGTTTGATCTGACAGGTGGCGTCTGTTTGATCTGGCAGGTGGTGTCTGTTTGATCTGACAGGTGGTGTTTGTTTGATCTGACAGGTGGTGTCTGTTTGATCTGACAGGTGGCGTCTGTTTGATCTGACAGGTGGTG